TGAATCTTTGACCTCCCACATCACCAAAGACTAAATTGCTTGGTGGTGACCACCGGCCCTTTGGACGGCTGGCTATTATTATTGTTATTATTGTTTTGTTGAAATGTGATCTGAGCTGTTATCATACAAAACTGCTTGAATACTTGGATGGATTTGTATAATAAGATTTTTTACACTAGTAATTATATATATATAATACTTACATTTAAATAAAAAGTATATGTCATGCACTTAAAATTGTTCAGAAACATAAAAAATTTATACGTTGATAATGTAGAATAAATTAATTCATACTTAAATAGATATACCATTTAAGTAATAATTCATGCAAAAAATTTTATATGTTTAAAATATGTTAACATTTATCTCATGCAACCTATACAAAAACTGATCTCAACCGTTTAAAATCAATTTTGCCTCCAACCGTTCCTTATCCATCATTTAGCAATTATTGAGGCGCACAAATCCCTTTTTTTTTCATCCATAAACCTGTGGCTGCCGGATGGAATAAGGTTTTCAAGCTTGGCAAAGTCCCTGGTCTAACCCATAGATGTTTTCACTTTCCTTACTGGTTCTAAAAGGAAACAGACAGTTTTATTGGCTAATTGATGAATGAATCCAACTTGGGTTTTCTTTATCGTCGTGTTTGTCGTCGTGTTTGTCCTCTTTAAGAAGACAAATAAGGATAAATAGTTAAAACTTCTGACGTCTTGCATTACGGACTTTGTTTCATATATCAGTCAAATTTAAGTGATTATGTCAATCTTTTTTGGTTTTTTATGGCAGTCGGCAGTGGGGAGTCACAAGGGGGCTGGGGGGCAGCTGCACCCAAGTTCTGAAAAATTCCTTTTGATTCCTGAATACTTTGAAGATTTTCCATTTAAAATCATATTTCCCCCCCCCCCTCCCCCAATCTAATTTTTGCCTCATGAAAATTATTATCTTTTAGACTTTAAATACTTTTAGATTTCTATTTAGTTAGTTCATATACATAATTTAACTTCATAATACATGTTTTTTTTAGAATTTTATGTATTACCTCCCTGAAATTTGGTATTAAAGCAAAGAGAAGTTCGTTTAAAAAAAACACGAAATTGATAAGAAATGAGAAGGTAGAGACATGAATAGTTATACGAATTTGATATATTATCATGTATCTTGATCCAATATTGGGGAAATAGCTTCCTTCTTGTGGTTTGTAGACTTACTTTTTATTATTGCTCTATTAAAAATCATCTTAAGATCATAAAAAAACTTATTCATATAGAAATTTGGTTTAAAATAATTTACATTGATTTCGGATTAACTATAAAGACCAAAATATTAAGCGATATAGTCACAAAAAATTAACATGCATTTTTAAAATTTCAAATTTAGACTCGTAAAGTAAAATTGCCATATTTTTAAGTTCACCCCCTCTTTTTTAAAATCCCGGCCCCGCCATGCTAAATCTATTAACTGTATGACCAACTAATCCGTTCACTTGTTTTGTGGTTTATGTTAAAACCTTTTACAATATTAGTGAACAATTAACCTGAAGTACACTAATGGCGAATTTTAAATTAGTTAATAGGTGGTTCCACTGTTATCTAATCAGCAAAAGTTTATATTGATAGCAATTTATTTGAATAAATTTCATATACACTGTCAATGTATATACTATCACGGTTAGATAGATGATACATGAGTAACGTTTGAATTTCAAATTCAAATTTTATACATGTATCATATATCTAATGGTGATAGTGTATATAAGATTAATCCATTCATTATACGCAGTTTATTGGGTGCATGATAATGTTAGAATTTCATAATGAGTACATTATTTTATTTGGTATGTGTATCGTGCCGTCAGACCACAAATAGAAAAAGCCATGTAGAAATCAAGTGCATATGCATTTGGATACTTCTTCGTATTTATCTCTTCATTTGCTCACCCCTTCTTTCCCTCTTCTTTCAAAAATTTCTTCAGCTAACCAACTCCACCTCTCATTCTCCAGTTCCCCTGGTCTTTCTCCCAATTGTGTTTTGTCTTTGCTTTTGAAATAAATTTTTCTCTTTTTTTAAATAAATAAAGAGAAAAATATTATTATTAAACTTGTTGAAAGTCATCCAGTACTGATTATTTTACAAAATCTATAATAAAAATTTTTTATAAGTCAATGATTTGATGCAGATCAAGAAGCAAAGTAATTTAAATATTTGATTCCACAAGTTTCTGACTATTGGCTATTAGATCATTAAACATATTAAACTAATAAACATACGTACTATATTAAGGGCAGCATTTCATTTTTCTTGTTCCACCTATCACTTAAATTTGTCTCTTTGATAAAATAATTCCTCTAGATCTTGAACATTGAAAATTTACTTGTCATTCAATTTACAATCAAACTATTATATAGTCCTCATAACATAGTATTTGTCCTATGAAGTACGGGATAGAATGTTTTGTTGACGGGTATTTATACCTCCAAGTGTAGATCAAATTGTAATATCGATGAATTGTAAACTATTGTATTAATCACACAATTCTAAGTTATACACAATCTTATGAAAAATAAAAGAGTAAGATTTGTAGATAGGTTGTTTTTTTTTAAAAAAAGGCTACATTTGGTATCGAGTATTAGTTCTTTCTTATGGAATTAGTTCGTGAAGCTACTCTGTTTAAATCTTTTTCACTTCCGCGTCAAAAAATAAAAAAGATAGGATGAACCCACGAGGTATATCGGCCAAAAATGATGTGATGAAAGTATGTATCAGAAAGGGTAAAATGTGCACAAGCATAATGCCAACACTTGAAATTGTGCTGAGGTAATTGTATCAGTAAAAGTTAGAGAAAGTGGATTTATAAGCTTGCTATTTGTCTGAGGCAGCTATTCTGGATTTGGAGGGGAAAATTATGGTATTTTTTTTACTTTTTTTTTTTGGATACTAATGGAATTACTTCTGTTGATTTTGCTGTTTCTTGTAATAACTTTATCCAAGTTTCAATAACACTTCAATTGAACAAAAATTAAAATACTTATAGAGAAATTTTAACTGGCAATATGTATGATATGGACCTCTAAACAACAAATGGTTGGCTGGTTTGCTGAAGAATCTGGATAAGTCATTACAAGAAGGGTCCAGCTTTTTTCCTTTTCGAAGAATGGTCAAGTTGATTTAGACAGGACCTTGGCTACCTCGTAATGGTGAAAGGAATGTAATTTGAACCTAGACAATTGACTAGGAATACAAATTCTGGATTCCCCCCAACTTCTTGGACATTGAAGCACGGCCAACCAAATGGGTCTAACTTTCTTGTTTTTTTTTTTTTTTTCGGGGTCTTATTCGTAAGAACTAATCAAGAGATACAAGTAAGTTAAATGGTTGAAGATCATTTTCTAAAGGCAAAGAACAATGCTTGTCATCATTATTAGAAAGAAATTTTGTAACAACAAATTGAAAATGTCATTAGGTCTAATATAGCGGGTCTACTTATTTTTCTTTTTCTAATAAAATAAAAAATATATTTTTATTTCATCAGATCTATATTAATGGCAGAGAGTACATCGAAACATGCCAGGAAATGAACAAATTTGAAAAAAAAATCAATATATCTAATACATTTAAAAATAATAGAGATTACACTTTGAGGTTCCAATAGATTTCAAACTCAAATAAATCACCTGTAAACCAATGAACATTTGGGCATGTTAATACTGTCTAATCTGTTGTTCAACTAGTTCAAGCTCAAATTCTAGGATGAATTTTGATGCGAGGGCCTAAAAATCCTAAATTTGGCATACAAAATTCAAAAAAACTCTCGGATCTAATAAAAAAAATTAAGGCCTTGCTTGCCAAATTGGCAACCACAATTACAGTAGAACAAATTGATTTGAGTTCCTCCATTGACTCCATGCTTAAGGCTATCTTTTTGTGGAATACGCATCACATCTATATGTCATGGTGATTCTATCTATGAAGCTCATAAAATTTAGGTAAAGTGAGCATCCTGGTCTTTGAACTTTAAACGAAAGTGTATTCCTTGGGTTATCAAAATTTTCCATTTAAGTTTAAATTAGTTTCAAATGAGTCGCCACCAAAGTCCACTGAGTTTCTCCGTTGACACCACGAATTGCGGGCGCGTGCAAGGAAATAAGAAAGGTTAAATACGTTCGTTGAAGGATATATAGACAAGTGGAAAATTTTCAATTTTCAGATTTGGTTAAATTTATTTTGCTCGATCTACTTTCGTGTCATTTTCAAGTTAATCCCATAGTCTTTTAGATGTATCCATTTGGATCCACAAAACTTTTGTTTTTCCAGTTATCCTGGATTCCTTTTTGCCCTTAAATTTGAAGCTATTCCAATGTCAATATAAGTTCCTAATCTCCTCTCAAATTATACGAGTACTAGTATAAATACCCGTGCTACGCACAGCAGATTACATTTTTAAAAAAAATTATAATCTATGGAGAAATTTAAAAATAGTAAAATATTATAATCACGGGCATATGAAAGTATATTTAAAAAAATGAAACTTGTAACAATAGTTCAATATATGATAAAAACATCTCCATTATTTATAAACTATCACTTTTTTTTCAATAGATTTTATTTATTAAGAAGACCAAATTACATTGTTGAAGCAGAAAGCAGAGTCCAGGGTTCTACTCTCTCACAATTTGTGCTTGAACAAAAGGAACTTCCCTGTTATCTAGAAGTATAACAGCTCTAACATCCCTCGGAAGTTGCTGGAAGGTTGTGGTAAAAAAGTCAGCCTAAGCCTCCATCGTTGCTAATTTATCCGCCGCGGCATTCGCTTCTCTGAATATGTGTCTAGCAGTGGTATTGAAGCTCTGAAGCATGGCTCGAATCTGCCGTAATGTGTTACATAACGACCATTTTGCCAAGGCCCCTGAGCCCAGCAAGTAGGCCAACCCCGCCAAGTCCACCTCCACTAATAGCCTCTGAACCCGAACCCTTTTGCAGAAGAGCAAACCCTGCAATAATGCCTAACTCTCGGCAGTCAGCACGTCAACATCCCCGAATTCCTCATAGAATGCAAAGATCAAGCCACCATCATGGTCCCACAGCAAGCCACCTCCCGATACCCTCCTACCTGAAACACTAGCATCTGTGTTCAACTTGATGACATCCTGTGGCGGTGGCTTCCAAGAAATCAGCAACCGTCGTGTTGCCTGTGGCCGCCAAGCAGCAAATAACACCCATGGATCATTCGAGTCACCCTTGAAGTGCGCCAAGGACCATAAATTTGCCCTCCCCAACTGCTCCACCTCACTGCCCACCGCACAAATAAGCCCCTGCGGCTCCATCCGAGTCCCCTCAAACCTTGACTTGTTCCGTGCTTGCCAAAGACACCATAAAATTAAACATGGGAGAGCAGTCCGTATATGATTTGCCGAGACTGATGAAGTAGAAGCAAACCAAGAGAGACACTCCGCCGAGATTGAGGGGGAACTAGTATGAAGAATTCCAAACCGTCTTCGAAAGAAACCCCAAACCTGCTCCGCTACTGCCCCGTCGAGAAATAGGTGAGTCAAGGACTCTTCATGCAAGGAGCAACAGCAGCACCGAGACACCAGCTTGATGCCCCGCCATTGCAAATTTACATCCCCCGAAACCATATTACGCAGCACTTTCCACACTAGGAAGGAGATTCTGAGCTGCAGGACTCTATTCCATATGAACCTATCAGCCCTAGAGAGATTTCTTTTCTGCCGCAGGGCCTCCCACCCGTCTTCGATTGAGAAAACTCCCGATGAAGACCCTACCCACACCATTTCATCCTCCTGGTCCGGATGTAAGGAAACCTCCTGGACCTGGCGAACCAAACCCATCGGTAACCAGACCTGTAGCAACCCAGTGTTTCATCCCCTCTCTCCAAAAAACTCAGCTACTAGCATGTGCGGCGGGTCAACTACGCCTACTTTCTCAACCAGGGGCACCTTCAAGAGCCACCTATCATACCAAAAGTCGACAAACCCTTTACCCAAGCACCACCGAATCCCCGACTCCATAAAATCGCGAACCTGCTGTAACCATCGCCAGATCCCTGTGGGCCGGCTCACTTGCACCTTAGATAGGTGTTCCCCCTTGATGTACTTCACACACATGAAATCTGCCCACCGTGATCTATTCTAGCGTAACTGCCATCACAGTTTGCATGCAAAGGCCACACTCATGTCCCCGAAGGATCGCACTCCCAAGCCCCTCTCCAATGTTGGGAAGCAAACCTTCTCCCATGAGGTCCAATGGATGCCCTTCGAACCATTCACTTTATCCCACAAGAAAGCATTGCATATTCTACCCAGCCTCTGGAAAACCGCTCGTGGAGGTTGAAGGACCTGCAGCAGATACATTGGAATGAAGGAGAGTACATGTCGGAGCAGGACTAACTTACCCCTCGTCGAGAGCAACCGGGAGCTCCAATAAGACAAACGACTTTGCATCTTTGCCAAAATTGGGTCAAACAGTATGCATGTCACTCTGCCTCGGGATATAGGGGCTCCTAAATATACGAAAGGTAGCATTTGCTGCTGGAACTGCAACTTCTCCAGCACTAAGGCAACCGTATACTTCGACGCTCTGTTAGAGAGAATAAAGGAGCTTTTACCCCCATTTATTCTCTGCCCAAAGTAAGCTTGATAACGCGCGAAGAACGCTACCAGTGAATCTAAACAATCCTCCGAACAGCGAGCAAGGACTAGCATATAGTCAGCAAATGCAAGGTACGGGACCCGAGAACCAGCTAAAACATAATACCGACTCTTATTTTGTTCGAAGAGGTGCTGTAGGCCTCTGCCGAAAAATTCTGACACCAATAAGAACATAGCTGGAGAGAGGGGATCCCCCTACCGAACTCCTCTAGAGGCCCTAAAGTACTCCCCTGGTGAACCATCGATTAAAACTGAAAACCAATTATTCGATACTGTTCTGAACATAAGATCGATTGCCTGTTCCTGGAACCCAAACTGGCGAAGCATAAAATTAAGAAAATTTCACTCCACCCGATCGTATGCTTTTTCCATGTCAAGTTTCAGTATCAAATTGGGATGGCACAACTTCCTATCCAGGTCCAGAGCTAGCTCCTGAGCTAGCAAAATGTTCTCTGTAATAGCCCTTCCTGGTACGAAACCTGTCTGCCAGAGGGAGATCAGCCTAGGAAGCATGGCCCGGAGGCGATTCGTCAAAATTTTGGAAATCACTTTCGAGCTCACGTTGCAGAGACTGATCGGCCGATAATCCTTCCATTGAGCCGCCCCTTGCACCTTCGGGATCAGTACAATAGCTGCACTTGAGAATCCCCTCGGCTGCTGAACCCCCTGAAAGAACTCCTAAACCGCATCGACCAAATCCTTGCCTATGATTTGCCAACATGTCTAATAAAAGCCAGCCCCAAAGTCGTCTGGGCCTAGAGCGCTCTCAGGAGAGAGCGAAAACACCACTTCTTTGACCTCTTCCAAAGTAGGAGGGCACTGTAACTTAACATTGTCCCCATGAGTGATTCTTGGGATCAGGAAATTCAACAAGGGGGCTACCTGTCCTGACGCTCCGATGTGAACAAGCTTTGATAAAATTGAGTGGCCAAGTGTTTAATGGCACCCTCGTCCTCCACCCAACGACCCGTCTCATCCTTTATCCGACCTATGAAATTCGTGTTCCGCCGCTGCGTGACTACGGAATGAAAGAATTTGGTATTGGTATCCCCTTCACGAAGCCATCTGATTGACAATTTTTGTCGCCAGAACTCGCACTCCACAGCCAGCGCCCTCGCATAACTTGCCCGAGTTTCCCCTAACTTTCTTTTCGCTAATGCATCCCGCCTCTCATCGAATTCCTTCTCGCTCTGACGGAGCACCTCCTATGCTTTCTTGACAGCCTGGAAAATGTTACAAAAAACTTGCCAACTCCATTGCCATAGGATCGGTTTAAGGTTAACTAATTTTCGATGAAACCCCACCATACCGCCGGCATTAACCGACCCATGCCACGCCTGTTGAACCACTGACAAGAAGTTCGGGTATTGTTTCCAAACATTCAGATAACGAAAAATCGGGGATCCGTGTCTTGGGTATTCGCTCTTGATCAAGAGCGGAGCATGGTTCGAACGACCCCGCATTCGGTGTGAGACAGTAGTAGTAGAAAATAATTCCGACCAAGCGGCGTTGGATAAAGCTCTGTTCAAACGCTGCCAAAGTGCCCCATTTGTCCAAGTGCAGGCCGAACCATCGAAGTCCACCTCCGCTAGGCCACAATTGAAAATCGCGTCGTTAAATTCCTCCATGTTACGGGGATTGGGAGGTGCCCCCCGGAGCGCTCCTGAGCATTCAAAATAACATTGAAGTCACCCGCCACCATCCACGGGCCCTCATTAATGCCATGGATTGACTCCATCGCCTTCCATAACTCCCGTCTCCCTACTCGTGTACATTTAGCATATACTGCCGAGAAAAGGAAGGTAAATCCCCCCCAACTTATCTCTATGTTAGCCAGTTGATCCTCTACTTCACGGAGCTGGGCTACCAGCTCATCCTGCCACAAAACCCACATTTTACCTTTCAAAACCGAACACCCCTTTGAAAAGTGCAACATACGACAAATTGAAGGTAATTGCGAAGCATCCGTCATAGGCTCAATCAAAACAAGTAATCTTATGTGATTATCCACACATAACTTATGCAGATATCTTTGAGAATCCTTACGGGAGATACCCCGTACATTCCAAACTAGAATATTAATGCGACTTATCATTAGGTAAGGTAGAAGACTTAGCTTGAGAGAAAAATAGCTGCAACTTCTTGTTGTAGTTTACGAGTCGTCCTATTTTCCTGGAAAGGTTGTTCAGCAGCGCCGCATCGTGGGCATCAATCATTGCTCCCTGAGGCACCTGCGCATCCAGAAGAGGAGAGTCTTTCAGTCAGTGATCCAAAGCCTCCTTAAACTGCTTCAAGGCAAGGACCAAGCAGCACTCCTGAAGCTGCCTGTCCATTGAGCATGATCGCAGCAAAGGCTGAGCTCGCGGCGACTCCAAGGGAGATGGGACTCCTACTGAGCAACACCCCTTTGTTGCTCGAGGGGACGGCAGCTCCAGCCCGTCCTCTATGGAACCTAGGACTGCAAAGGAGTTGTCCAGTACCACCACACCACCTTTCCCCGGTTGGCTGCCCTCCACCCCTATTGCGACAGTGTCTTCCTGAGTTGCCTCGCCTACGGTCAGAACCACCGCCAAATCCAAACCCCTCCCCTGGTGCCCATCCCGCTGCCCATCCTCCTTACTGACGTCATGAAGCCCCAAAGGCGGACCTGCTGCCACCACCGTGGGCTGGACAACATGAGCAACAGGCAAGTCTATCCCACCCTGCTGGAGCCCATCCTGGAGCTCCACAACCAACTCCGCATCTCGCTGTCTTACCACTACTATGGGTCGTTCCTGCTCGCCGAGGAGTTGTGCTCCTTCGGTATGTAGGCTTGGTTGGGAATCCCAATCTCCCTTCGGACAGGCCTACGTTCTGGGTGGAGGCAAAAGCACTCTTGCTCCCCATGACCTAACCTCTCGCAATGCCCACAGAAAGCAGGCCAACTTTCGAATTCCATCTTCTGCCACTGCCCATGTTGGTCATCTCTTAGCCAAAGCCTCTTTATTGGAAGCTTGGCCACATCAACCTCAATTAGGAGCCTGGCTACGGATGGTCTCTTCATGCTCAATGTTGCCGCATCCACCTGCAGCGGCCTCCCTATCAGCGAGCCTATTTTCAGCAACAATTTCCTGTCAAAGAAAGGAAGAGGTAGCCCCGGCAAGTTCACCCAGATGGGGGCTATGGCACAATCCTGGCCAGCCTTAAAGTCAATTGTCCACTTAGAGATTTAACTTGACGGCTATTATTAACATTCAATTTGCTTGCTCGAATAGTATAAGGTTGCAATTGACATTATACTTGCGAGGTTGCAATCTTATTATGGCATTGGCAGAGTAGAAAGGACAATATATGGCATTGGAAGAGTAGAAACGGTAATATATGGCATTGGCAAATTTGCAAATTCTTGATTGGAAGGGTTTTAATTGTAATAGGAAGATGTGTATGGAGTGAAATTTAACTTGAGGGCCAATAAGGATACCAACAGCAAGTGGAAAGAGATATTGCGCATGGAATTGGAAGAGTTTTAATGTAAGTGAAATTCTTGATTGGAAGAGTTTTAATTGTAGTGGGAAGGTGTGTGAGGAGTGTCAGTTGGAGTAAGGTGTGTAAGGAGTGGGAAACGTGGGAGTGTTAGTTGGAGTTAACATCTTGTTTGAGGGAAACATGGGGTGTAATGTGCCCATAATGTTTTTTACGAAATAAATTGAATGCAAAATGCTAGAAAAATAGAGTTCAGAGTGGGAAGGTTTGTGAAGGCTTGTTGCTAAAAATCCCTTCTCAAATTTATATAGATATAGATTTAGCTCATGCCTAGCATACTTTTTATTTTTTTCTAATGGATTAACCTTTTCTATACTGACAGTGTATACATATCAGTTTTGGATGAATAAAGATTATGTAAAATTTAAATTTGAAATTTAATTTTTGCACATATATCACAGATCCAATAATGATAGTATATATACTGTAAGTGTGTATAAGATTTACTCTTTTTCTAATTTGTTGTGAATACAGTATGAATAATTCAAGTCAATGTTCTTACAAATTCTTTAAAATTGATATTAGAAAATTGATGCATTCTAAGTGTTTAGTTACCATACCACTTTTTAAAAACTTCTATACGTGCTTTTACTATGATATAATAATATTGATTAATACTATAATGTATACGCAAAAAATTGATAGATATTTTTTGAGAT